TCATAAGTCATATAAGTATTTCCCTTAGAATTACTATTCAGCTTTCAATATTCTTAATTTTCTCTCTCATCAAATTAAAATATTCACTTATAATATTTACACAATAATCTTTTATGAGAAATATATCCTTAATCATAAAATTAATATTTATTAAACCACTTTAATTTTAGTTAATTAAATAATAATCATAACACATTAAAAATTACACTTGTGACCTAAAATTTGTACCATTACTTCATCCTAAATTAGCGAACACATATATTTGTCCGGAAAAAATGAGAAGAGAAAAGTAAAAGGGTAGAAAAGCTGATCCGTTATTGTTCGAATTTGCACGTGTGTTTGCTTGCTTATTGGCATTGTTAGCGGAAGTATAATTTGAAGTTGCAAGAAAAACCAAACTATCTTGTCGTTTTGGTACGCTAAACTCTTTTAATGTGTCAACGCATTCATGACAACTATAACTATTTAAAATAGCACTAAGACAAACCATGTCTTCAACTTGCTCCGTACACATGCATATGATGATGCAAAAGCACATTCTGTATCTTAAATTTAATTGAGTAGACTTTTTCTTCAAGTATATAAGACGCAACTATTTCTTGTATGATCATTCATTCTCTACTCGAATGCGTTTGGTTGAAGCACCACTGAAAATTAACGCCAACCTCATGTCATGTGCTCTAGTTTGCACAATAAGCAAAAGACTTTTTTGCAAAAGTATATAACTTCACCCTGACGCAATTATATTACCTCAGTTCAAATGTGTATTACGGTTTTATCAATGTAATAGAGTCGAGACAAAAAACTTTTAACTTAAAGTTGTCAATAATATATATAGGTTCATGTTGATCCTAAGTCGTATTATTATGTAGTTTCATGTTGATTTGACCTACATTGAAAAGCTCACTATGCTTAATGTTGAACAAGGCAATTTTGGATTTACATTTTTTATTGGAAGCTTCCTGACGATCTTTTGTTCTATGGTTGTTCTTGTTGTCATCTAACATAATAAAATTTTGTCTTTGTTGATAGGAGGAGTCACTACTACTATAAAAAAAAAAAACACACACATTTTATTTTAGGTGTAAAGAGGATTTTATCTCGGTTACACAAGCGAAGTATAGAAGAATAATATAAAAATTTACAACTTTATTTTTTGATTTTTGAATAATTGAGAAGATAGTTGAAATGACTATTGGTTATCTCCAACAACAAAATTTTTATATATTTAAAATTAACGTAACGTATCTCTCGGTTTTTATTAAAAATCATGGGAAAAATATATTTATATATTTTTTAAATACAAATTACATTATTTAAACGAATATTAAATTATATTGTTTACAAATAATTTTTTAATTAAAATATCTTATTCCTGGATGACAAATTTGATTCATCATTATCGCTGTTATTCTTGGAAAATAACAAATTTAGATTTTGTTGCATACCCATTGCTTTTCAAGTTCAATGGTTTTGCATGCATCCAATTTCTGATATAACATAAAAACAAGTTAGATACATAACATAAAATTTCAGTTAAAGGATAAAATATTATTTGTAAGAACACCAACATTAGAACAAATTATTTTTCTGCACTTGCAATTCATCCTAAAGACCTGTTCCAAGCTTTCATTATCAATATTTTTACCGTTTTCATGGAAAATGCTTTTGTTATCATTGTTTGTGTTCTTGATATATTGTGAAAGTGTTCACGTTCTTATTGGATGTTGAAATTCAGATTTGTTTGATATATATTAGACACAATGTCTGGGACAATGAGTATAACTTGCTAATACAAAATTAAATCATAAGAAAATAAACACAAATAGTTATTAACCCAGTTCGATGCAACGTCACCCACATCTAAGGGGATTCTAATTCAAGAAAGGAAATTCACTCTCAATAGTATTAGTTCAAATAGTCTTAGATGAACAATCCTTGTTAAATTCCTCCCTTCCTAATACTACCTGTGACTTTTTATTTAGGACTCTCTCTAAATATGAGAGCTATTTTAACTTTCTCTAAACCACTAACCATAGTGATCAATACACAAATCAGATCAATGGTTGTTAAATTACAACTCTATTAAAACAAACAACCTATATACCTTTGATATGAAACTTAGGCGCCCTAGAGGTGCACAAATAAAAACAATCACAAAGACTAAAATAACAAAACTAAACATTGTAGATCTTTGACTCTTCCTTGTGCTTAATTCGTTGTTATGATGATTGTTTAAATAACAATTCCTCTAATGGGATTTTACTTGATGGACATTTGAATCGATAATAACATATTTGATTATGATGAAAATCGAATTTGATTTGATTTGATCTTCATTTACTTAAAATATTCGTTTGATATGATTTTTTCTTGGAAAATATTTTTTATCAAATCTTTCATAAAAGTATCTTTGTTAAAAGATATAATTCAAAAACAACAAATTTTCGTAGAAAAAACACAATTACGCTGTCGCGTAGCATTCGCCGCCGTCGGTCAATACCACGAAGAAGAAACGAAATTGCGACAGTAATGATAGGAAAATAGATGTAGTGGTAAAGATTTGAGATTAAGCCATCAATTAACTTATCTCAACACAATAAAGTACCCACCGCACTTTATTGTTTCCAAAGGGAAATAGGAAAAAAACGAACAAAACCCATAATAAAGTAAAAGATCAGAGATCGAGGTATGGGGGTCGGTTATGCAAAGGGAATGTGTTAGCACCCCAAGCATCTACGGTATTCCGTAGGATACACTTTTTTTGGTTTCTTTTAAAATGAGTTTCATGTAAAGGTTTACTTGCTAAAGGAAAAGGATGAATGAGTATTTGTAAACAAAAGAAAATGAAATGTTTTTTTATTATTTTTGTTGCTCGCTTTGGGTCGTAAGACTTAATGCCTACGTACAATGAGAAAGTTAGAGCACCGTAGTTCAACTAGAAAAGACTTGTCTGTTGATTGATTTTAAACAAAGAGACAAGTCGTCATTGTTAGGAGAAAAATCTCGACTAATGCCCACAAGGTGTGAGAAAGATGGACCCTGCGTCAGCAAGAGTGAGTATTTGAGAACACCTTTATCACTCAAATGGAAAAGCCGACACCTTTATAACCATGGGGATAAGAGAATGTTGCTCGACTATCAATGAATCATGTCTCATCTTTGAAAAGTTTTGAAGGGTAAAGGTGCTCGAGCGCATAAAAAGTTTTGAATGAGTTGAAGCGTTTTTGTTAATTTTGAAAGATGTGAATGTATGATTAGATGAATTGAAGTTTGTTTTCAAAAAAGTTTTGAAAGAAAAGGCACTTGACAAAGTCGAGGTCTATTAAGAAAGCAATTCGAGTTTATAAACCATGAAGCTTTTGAAAAAGATGATAAAATTTTGAAAATTAATGAAGGGGAGGAGATGAAGGGACTATCCTAAAGCATAGGGTTAAAGCTAAGGAAGAGAACCGTCTAACCAACAAGAAGTCAACACTTGACATTATGAGTCAAGATAGAATTCTAATTCTTTAGATTGAAACCAAGCAAGGATACTAAACCTCTTGAGAAAACCAAACTTTAATTGCATTAAGTCTTCACAAAAATTAGGCAGAGTAATGGCTGTATACAGATGAATTCCTATGCTTCCTCTCAACTTGTCCAAAACCGATCAACCATGCTCATATACCGAAATAGCCCTATTTCAATCAATTGACACAAGCTCACATGAATTTCGGGAGCATGTCGTGCTGCAAACATAGGAGAAGAAAACTGAGAAAGTTCATACACTAGACCTGCATTAATTCATAAGTCAAAAACGGTTCAACAGCTCATCCAAGCAAAAAGCCACTTCGCAATTTTTAACTGAAATAAAAGTAGAAGGCTTACTTCAGAGTGGATTTGTTCCACTGAGAAATATCTTCTGAGATGGAAAATATACCTGGAGAAACATGAAAGGTCAGATGGTTCAATAGAGAGTACGATTAAATGAATTTTTGCAGCTAAGGAACATAATGTTGAGTATATTGCAGAAGTAGAGGAAACCAACATTTGGAGATCAGCAAAAAAATTAGGAAATAATTAAAATAGCAGTAAGTCAGAGATGTCCTATAACGGTCGTAACACAAAAATCCCGGAGATCAATTTCCCTACCTGTTTTCTAACTGTATAAACAATTCATAACTGAATTAACCAAAGCCATTTTTCATCCATAACAGAAATATAATAGAAAGAGAAAACTGGGTGGAGAGAGGAGAAGAGGATTCATAACAAAATTGAAACAGAGGGGCTAACGAATTTATAAAAGATTTCTAAAAGGGGAGAGTGATAACAGAAAATAAAGAGGAGGAGAAGGGATTCACCTTGGGAGGATCTCACTGTCTCTTCCATGCCTCAACCTTCAAATAGCATAACCAAAAAATCTCTCCTCTCTTCTTCTACAGAGGCCTGGCTTCAATCATCATCATTCAGGATTCACCTTCAACCACCTCCAATCTTCATCTTCATCATACTTCTCAATCCTTCATCATCTTTGTACACCACTCACCTATAACATCGTAACACTCGCGTCTATTCTCATTTATGTAACTTCTCTGTGTCAACGCCATCTCTGCAACCAAATCGACAATAATCATTAACAACTTCAGCACAATCACAGTAACAACGAAGATTTCAATAAAAATATCATAGAAAATTCAAAAAGCCCAAGGAATCAGAGAAGAGAAGAAGAGTTGATATCGCAAAAGCAAGAAATCGTAAAGTATACTTGATAATCACACTTCTAGATTTCTCTTATGTTTTTTCTTTGCCTTTAATATTCACCACAAATGCCAAAGCAATTCTCAGCTTCGTAGGTTGGTTTTTCGTACACTTCTCATCACTTTCTTCGCATTATTCGACTGTTTAAAGATCCCTAGACGTTATCCCCATAGTAGCGGCTTGGAAGCTTGACAAAGAACGTCTAATTTTGTTACGTCACGAGACTAGGTCTATTTTTCCTCTTAGATGCAGAAAGAAGTTTAAGATCTATAAAGATGAGTTATGGCTCGCAAGCGATGATGGGTATGGGAGATAAAGACGAGATGTGGCCGTTCGTGGAGGAAATCGGTGGTGGCCGCGGTGACGTGCTGACAGAAATAGAGATCGAGACAGGGAAGGGAGAAATACGAAGGTGGCAGAGATGACAGAGGAAATGGGAACAAAAATCGGTTGAAGCAGCGATGGAAGAGAAGAATCGCTCCGCTGAGTGTTAGGATGAAGAAGAAGTTGTATCGTCCCAATTTGAGAAACCCTATCTTCAACATTTGCATTATTTTTTTTACAGTTAATTAATTAAAGTTTTAAAAAAATGGACATTGATATGATGAGTGGACCGAAACACTGTCCCTCAGGGCCATCGATGGATTTTTCTGGAATTTGTTCAGCTTGTGACAAAAAAAACTTCTTATGGCTCTATTTAGATTGGGCTTAACTTTTTTTTTTTGTATATAATTGTTAGGTGATATTTTTTAGTAAAAATTAGAAAAAATAAGAATAATAAAATAATAAAAAATTTGTTGATTGTTTCTTAAGAATATAATAGGATTTTTCTAAATTTTCCTTTTTTAGAATTTTGGTTAGAACTTTCTATTATGGTTTATGTTCGATAATTATTTTGTTCAGTAATTATTATACTGCTTCCGATTTATATTTACGCATTTATCGCTTTCTAGATATCATGAGAAGTAGGAAATAAAGAGCAAGCGCTCGAAGTCGTTGTTTAAAGACCTGTAGCAGGCATTCCACACTTCATTTATCATATGTGTTGTGCTTGTGTTTGTTTCCTTTCTTGTTGATTGATGAGTCACTCAATTTAGAAGTTGAGATCACGACTTCGCTCTCAGTGCATGCTCCCTATAGGATTTTATCGCTTTCCTTTATTTCTTGTTGATCGATGAGTCACTCAATTTATAAATTGAGATCATAATTTCGCTCTCATTGTATGTTCCCTATAGGATATTTTGTTAGACTTTCTTTGGCATGCTAACCTAGATAGGATCACTCATTGTATGATAATATTAGGTTAGAGATAGATTAGTCTCCATTTAGACTTTTCTTTCTTCTTTTGCATAATTGCATTTAAAACTAAAACTTCTTTATCTTGGCAAATGTATAAAAAATGCTAAGCATACAAAAATTCTTTTCATGGTAAAAAATACCAACCAATCCATTTATTTTCGCCATTCGGCTTTTCTCTTCTAAGAGCATTGTTAGTTCCTTTCCACTACAGGTCGTAAGTCTCCAAAGGTCGAGCAGCGGTGGAATGATCGAATGCAACATTGTTCATTTAAAAAATACAAACAAACCAAATATATGAGTCGAACTACGACACCCTGATTCCTTAAAAGGGATACGTAGACATCTGGTCACGGGGCTCATCTGAGCTAAAGTTTGTAAATATTTCCTTCTTTTCCCCCTGTTTTCTTTGCATGCATTCTCTCTTAATTTATAATTTTTAAGCATTAGATTGACCACACCCTTTGATTAGAACAATGAGAGTGGATCCCATAGAGTACTATGGACGTGTGGGGTGCTAATACCATCCCCTCGCGTAATCGACTCCCTTACCCAATATCTCGGTCGTAAGATCTTGATTTTCCCCTTTAGGTTTTTTTCCGATGATTTTCATTTCCCTTTTATATGGGATAAATAAATACTCGGTGGAAACTTTATTGACTTTACCACTACACATAGGGGCAGGAAACATCCCTTATGCGAGAAGCAAGAAGGGGACCGAATTACAAGGAGTAAGGGAAGATTTGGTATTTGCAAGAAAAAGGACTACATTATCTCACAGGCCAAAGGCGGGGTGTTGTTCTTAAATAGTGGCAATCATATGAGATGCTGAACTGTCGAGTAAGGCTTTTCAAATAATTGTGAAGAAAGAAAGGTTGTACACTGACTCTTTCTCACACTATAACTTCAAGAGGCGAATACGGGTAATAACAAGGAAGAAAGGACAATCATGAAAGTGGTGAACATTGTGGAAACCTGTTAGGGATATCCGAGGATATCTGCGGGGTTTAATAAATCACTGAGTGTAGCAGTGATAATCAGACATCAAGCTATTGATTAACTTGACTCGCAAATAAGCACGAGTCGCCACCGCACTTTATTTTTTCCAAGGGAAAAGGTAAAAGTGAGAAATAAAACCCATAAATATGCAAAGTAAGTGTAATACTAAAAGTAAAGTAAAATACAATGCATTTGAAAGACATCGAAGGTTTGGGGGTTGGTTATACAGAGAGGAGGTACTAGCCCCTATGTATATATCGTATCATATAGGAACCTTTTGAAATATCTAATTTTTGGTTAAATTTGGTTTGCTTGCTAAAAGAGTATGGGGATGAGATTTTGAAGATGCGACGACCTACTGTCGAAGTTTTGGCTTAAAGAGTGTAAGTTGGAAAATTAATTTTTTTATGAGATTTGTCTTAAGATTAACAAAATTAAAGAAAAATGTATGAAGGGGTTTCGCACAATCGTATTAAATATATTCGGTGACATGAAGTCAACAAATTTAATCATTTTTCTTGGAATAGGCACAAACAAAAATATATAGGCTAAATGATCGAAAAAAGGAAATTAATTAGAATATAAATTTAAATAATTAAATAATTAACAATTTAAAAATAATTAAAGCAAAGGGACTAAATTATACTAATATATGTTTTTTGGTATATTTAAATAGGGCAAGAAAGAAATAAAAGTGTAACAGCTAGGACTTGAACTCAGGTTCTATGGGTTATAACAAAGCTGTCTTACCAATAAATCATGTTCACTTTTCTGTTATTCACACACCTTAATTAAAATAGAAAGAGTTTGAGTTATAAAGGGATAAAATGCAGAAAAGTGGTAAAATGTCCCCCAATGGGTCTCGAACCCAAGACATCACGCATGAAAAACTAACACCCCAACCACTTCACCAAATTGTTCATTCGTTATATTTATTTCTTCAAATAACATAAGAGGAAAATAATAAAACAAAGTTGGGCTAAAAATGGCCCAAAACCGACCCGGTTTGGTAAAGGGAAAGGAAGGTTTTTGAAAACCCTAATTGTACAAAAGTGGTGCTGCTGGCTTTGTGTTGGGAGGAAGAAAAGTAAAAAAATTAATATTTATTCCATTTGATCATTCACATATTATCTCTTCTTCTCTTAATAAACCCTTGTTCCCATTTTCTTCTCTCCGAAAACAACAACAATCTCCCTCACTCGGTTTTCATTCGGTCAAACATAAATCCATAAACAACTTATCAAATGAATCAATATCTATTGAAAGCTCTCCTTATCTCAGTTTTATTCTCCATTAACAATAACAATTGTGGAACTCGGTTCACAAACACTCTCTCATAACTGATTTTTTCTCATAGTTTATGTTTTGGTTAAAAAGGAGTCTATTAGAGCTCTTGATATTTCAACAACAACAACCACTCTCTGCTCTTTTGTTTTCCTCATTGCTTAACAACAATAATACAACCATTAATCAAGTTAAACAATTCACAACCAATCGCAAAATAGCTTCACATGATTTTTGCACAAACATAAATGATCATAAGGAATAAAGATTACATAATGAATGCTCTAGGTATGCTACTACTCTTCTCGTACTTCGTGTTCTCTCAAATCCGGAAGGAGATGATTTGCATATCAACTTCAATCTCTTTTGTGTGAAATTTATATTAGCTTTCAAACTGTATCAGCATTAAGAATTTGCCGGTTGTATTGTTGAATGCAAGCCCGCTGTGAATGAGTTTGTAGATGAAGGTTGTTGTAGACCTACTGTGATGCAAGGCTGGGTTGTGATGTTACCGGATTTAAGTTATGACTTTGCTATCCACTCCTCTTATTTTCTGAAATTATGTTTGGAAATCAAGTTTGTGTTATTGTCTAGAATTTGCGAAATTACATGTTGATTGAAGGTGTGAATTGGTGAAGATGGTGGAGTTAATATTGTAGGTTATTTGAGTTGGGATTGATGGAATAAAATGAAATAGGTTAAAACATAAATTGAGAATTTTTTTAAGGAGTTTTTTTTTTGTTTTGACAGAGGTTTTTTCTAGTTTTCTCTACTGATCTCTCCTCTTGTCTATCATCCCCCAAATCCGTGGACTTCCCTTGTTATATAGATCCTGAGAGGTGAGAATTGGGGAGAATTTTGGAGCCATGATTTTGAAATGAAAACTAGTTTTGGTGCACTGATTTATGCTTTCTCTTGTAGGTTTTTTTTTGGGCAAATATTGGACCATTTTGTAGTAGCATATGGCAACAACTTGGCCTGTTTTTCTTGGTTTTTTTGTGCAGGGCGACAAGGCAAGACAATAGGATTTTATATGATACTTTTGTGCAAGTCTTTGGACTGGTTTAGAGCATTTTTTGTATGTATATGGACTAGTATAGCAGACTGTTTTGGTGTAGGTTCTTGGCATGTTGTAGCAGCTTGGTGCAGGGCTGACTTTGCAGGTTATAAGCATCAATTTTGGACTGGTGTGTGCAGGTTTTGGAGCAACGAGGTGCAGGCTCTTTTTGGAGTGTTACAACTGGTTTTTTAGTGTAAAATTGGACTAATTTTGTAGACAAATCTGATTGCTTTTCTAGACAAGCAAATTAACATCAAATTGGAGACAAATGATCATGGCATGGAACTTTGAGGAATTATCATGAAGTCTTTAGATTTAGGCTGGGAATTTTTCGTGTAATCTTGTAGCATTCTAACTTAATAATATGATGAGACTTGAACAATTTGTAAAGTTTGCCATTTTATATGTTTGATTGTAATCTTGAAGAGTATCCTTGTGATGCTTTACTTAAAATGATGAAGATGCTTGGATGAACCAAAATTTGAATTCATGATGAACTTTGTTGGAAGTCTTTTATGACAAACTTGAATCTTGCAAGAATTTCCTTGAATGAATATTTCAAAGCATGACTAGGATTGAATGATACTTGGATAGTCCATTTTGAATTCCACACCAACCAAACATATGAATTCTCTTTAGTCAATCTTGCTAAATGACGAGAATCGATATTTGCACTTGTGTCTTGAATTTCAATAAAATCAACATGAACAATTTTTTTCAAATTATCAGTCCAATTGATCATAACCCTTAAATCAAAATAACTTGGGTCATGTAAGCATAAAAACTCAAATCAAAACTAAAAGGCCTTGAATGATCATTAGAAGAGGTTTTTGAGCCAAAAGTTACCACTTTGAGGAACTGGCATCGTGAAGTCATTAGAACTCAAGAAAATGACCTATAATGTTTCAATAA